TTTCGATGAGGAGATCAAAATGGTTACGAATATTGTGCGACAATTGAATTTAGGCCGAAACGCCGGTTCGGTCACCGTTTTAGTCAACTCTCAAATGCAGAATAACATCGATTTGGTCGATGACAACAGCGTTCAGATCACTACACCCATGTATGCCATCGCATACAACACCACGTCCTCCCAGTGCGCCTCATGTCGTACCGCGTGGTTTGATAACTGTATGCATTAATTGCGAGTTTAATTGATAGCAAATATTTTAATTAATGTCTTATTGACAGCTCAAACCAAGATATCCGACCGACCACTGCTCATGGAGTTAATCAATAAGACACTCATGGAGTTTGACGCGCCCTCCGAATCACTGGCAGGCATTCCCTCCAAAAACTTCATTTGGTTCGACTTCGGGAGCCTAAGGCCGGCGCCCACTGACAGGAAAAGCAAACGCCGGTACGAAGACTTCAAGTGGCGGCTCCGGTACGAGCACCGGGATGTCAACGTATTCATTGCCACTCTTAATAAAGAGGACTTTAAGGACCTGTTAAGTAGGGATGAGAATTGGATTCAAATGGGAATGGGATCAGATTCAGCAGACATGGAGTCCGTTGATTTGATGAATAAAATAACACAAACACCGCAAGTGTTTCAATACGGAGACTGTCGGCGCCAGAAGTCTAGCAATGAGATCTATGAGGGGTACCTCACACCAGGGTATAAACAGTACTGGGTTATGTATCCCCGACACTTCATCAAGAGTTATTCCATAGACCTCCGAGTATGCGTTCAGATTAGTTTTTGGGCTTAAAATTACTATTAATTTATTTTTGTCATAATTTGTGCGTTTAGTTCAAAGCGGAGAAGACTCGGCTCAGGGTATGTGTCGATCGGTTCCCAATCCCCGAGAATAATGAGAAGCATTGCAATGAGGCTCAAGAGGATGGCGGCGAAGTGAAGTTCACGATCACCGACCCCTGTAGGGGCAAGAGTTTTGAGTCCTGTCCCGGCATTCACGTCTCGATTGGACTCAGCCCGCAGGCAATCAAAGCCGTCAGCGCCGGTAGTGTTTGTAAAGGTTTGTTGAGCTGATTGACCTGGTCATTCGTGTGACAATGTGTTACCAAATGAACATGTGTATTTTCAATATAATGACAAATTTAGTAATTTAGACCGCAAGCTTTAATTTAGCAGCTTACTCATATACTTTGTATGCGTAAGCTGTTAATTTAAAGCTTGCGGTCTAAATTACTGATTTCAATGTGAACCGATTGTCATTATATTAAATGTACCTATGTCAAATGTGTATTTGTTTTACAGATGCGAGATGTCGATCGCGGGACCAAATCAAGTGGAGGTTCACACACTCGGGTGTATCGTGTAGTAGTGGTATACTGTAAACAATTTTCCAATAGGCTTAATTTTAGCATGGGATATTGAGTATATCTGATAAGATTATATTGTAATTGTATATTATTTTATATTTCCCAAATAGTTATTAAAGTGTTTTAGTATGTTATAATAAAAGTAATTTTAACCAGTTATATATGTTGGTTAGTAACAATAAAAATTTAATTGACATGCGTAATTTTTGCGTAAAATTATGTTTAAAATTGCTATATACTATATCATAGATGTACATGTATGTACCACAGCGGTCACATTGCTATATGAATAGCATTACTAATTTAACATGCTACTCATATTTTGGACGTCTATGTACTATATTATAGTAATGTTAAGTTTTTGCTAGACCTCCTATACAATTAAGTAGTTAGGAGTAATAACCAGTAGTTATCAGTCTCGCACATATGCTGGCTCATTGAGGCAAAATTTATCCGGTTCCGTGACCTAACCCTGCCTATTGCAATTGGTGTAACCATGGTAGGTTTAAGTTGCTTATCAATCGTGATTACTTGGCAAATGTATATAATTTAAAATTCTCAAAATCTGTTGACAAAATAAACACAATTTTAGATAAGTTGCGAGTTGAAAGCTTTTTAATGAATTTTAATGCATTACATGTAAAATATTTAAAAAAGCTTTCGACTCGCAACTAATCCAAAATTATGAGTTTATATTTTCAACACAGAAATAGTTATTTAAAATGTTATTAAATTTTAAAATTAACTTAATTTTACATACTTATAAATGTTGGCTAGCAACTATAAAATATTTATTACGATGCAAAATTAAGATTAAAATTGCCATACAATGCTAAATTTTTTCTATACAGTCTATTAGGCACCAATTATACATCAAAATTACTGTATTGTACTTAAAATTCAATGCAAACAAGGTGATTTAGCATAAAATAATACATAGTATAATAGTAGTTAAAATTACTAAACAGCAGTTTATTTTACTAAATATATGTTGAATTTAAGTTAAAAATAGTCATTAATTATTTAAATTATAAAATGCCTCTTACCTACAACTTTACCGGAAAGGTAGTCTTAATCACAGGCTCGGGCACCGGTATAGGGGCCGCAATCGCCACCCTATTTGCCCGTAGCGGCGCTCGGGTAGTCATAGCCGACGTGAACCCCAATAGTATGCGAGATGTGGCCTTCGAGTGCGCCCGCGTATCGCCCGGTGCTCTCAAGCCGTTGCAAGTGGTGGTAGACCTGCGCCGGGATGTGGACATGGAGAGACTCATCCAAACCACTATCACCGAGTTTGGCAAGTTAGACATCCTGGTCAATAATGTGGGTTTGTGTTACAGTTCTCATATTGACGATGATGATTATATCGAAAAGCAGCGTGCTACATTTGAGCTAAATGTGCAACCAATGATCCAGCTTACTCAATTATCGGTCGACCATTTGTCGCGTACTAAGGGCTCCATCATTAATATATCGAGCATTTCCGGTGTTAAACCAGTAAGTTATATGTTACTGACCTAGTTACATTTTTTTAACTTTGTAACAATTCAATTAATTATTAAAATTAAATTTGTTTACATTATTCAATCTAGCAAGTTAGATGTAGTTTAAAATATAGTAACATAATTGAAAAGTGTTTCTCGAAACACCAAGTAGATTTATAATATTATAATAACCGTAGCTTGCAATATTTTATAAAATTGTATTTCACAGGTTAAAAATATATCCGCTTATTGCATGTCAAAGGCCATGGTCATTATGTTCACCAAGTGTATGGCGGTCGAGTTGGGTGGTAAGGGTATCAGGGTCAATTCAGTATGGTCAGTACACAGTTGATTACATTTTAATAAAAACAATTATAAACTAATAATTTATTTTGTAACATGTATATTTATTATAAAAATTAACTTCCTATTTTTGTCATTATAATTAGCCCTGGGTACACTCGCACGGAGGGGGCCAATAATGCAACAGGGTTAACTGGGGAGGCTCTTAACGGCTATTACAATGAGGTGGCAAAAAGGCAATACCCGATAGGCCGTGTAGGTGAGCCCATGGACCAGGCTAACGCAGTGGCTTATTTAGCCAGTTCAAATGCCAATTTTATGACCGGTACCATTTTAAATGTTGATGGTGGCTATTTGGCTAACAAATGAACATGCCATCAAAATAAAATAAAATTTTTATTTTAACTAATAACGATTTTAAATATAGATAGTTTTATTTAACCTAGAAAATTATAATATAATATATTTATGTATTAGTATATTGTATTATATTTATGTACCTTATTAAACAGCCCTGTAGTTATAGATTTTAAATATTGAATAAAGATTTCATAATCCATTTGTTTGTGTTTTATTTATAATTTTTATTTGAAAAATTAATAATGATCATATATTATATTTATATAACAAAATAATAGGTTAAATAAATTGCATTTATAAACAAAGATTTATTATGATTAATTATAATCACTATAACATAATTGACAAGATATTTTTGGTAAAAGTACATTGTATGAATAAAACAAAAATATTTTCATGCTTTAAATATCTGGAGCACATATGAACTTGCAAAATTATTTATTTATAAACCCTATTTATATATTATTTTAATTCCTTTGGTTAATGTGATCAAGATCGATAACATGAATTTTTTATTATAATAAAATCTAGTTGAATGACAGTTTTATGAACTATAATAACAATACTTGTCAAATCGTAAACGTAAATTAATTGATTAGTTTAACCAGTTTATAAACCTGTATATATATTTTCTAAAAGGTACTACCACACTTATAATATATTAGTACTTTTAGTTGGTAAATAATATGCTAGGCAAAATGTTTATCAAAAATAATATGCTTTTAGATATAATTAATAAAATGGATAATAATTTTGATTTTAATACTATATTAAGCCCTTTAATAAATTTCTTAAAATTTTATGGGTTTAGACAAAAAACAATTAAAACTACCCGGCAGCAATTACATTTATATACAGTAAGATTGCTTATAATTACGTGTACCCTATTCTCATTATACGGCCTAAAATTAAGTACATTGCTTAAGTTTAATAATTTATTAGCAAGCTCGGCTACCTTGTTCAAAATAATATTTTCCCAGCTAATCGTATACACTTTGAAATGTGATAAACGTATATTACTATATGGCATACAAACTACACGGTGTTTCACTCATTATCGCAAATACACACACCGTTCGTATTACCTAATAATATTTATCTTGATCACAATTGTATCCTATGAATGCCTGGATATTCTTAAAGCATGGATATTTCAGACCATACACCCAATGTTTACGATAGCTAAATATAAAACCATCAATGATAAAATCTACTACGTGTGCGAGGGTATGGCATATTTCACGTGCTGCCATCTACCAATGTATATGTCGGTGGCATATTGTTCCCTGAATTGTCAAATCATATCACATATGTTTGATGATTTAAACCAGAAAATTTTGATCGGAAAAGAATTTAGTCTAAATTTATCCGATTTACGGCGAATTCAATTAATTCATCATAAAATTAGTGGACAGTCGTGTCGGCTACAGGGTAGCGCGTCGAAGGCCATACTTATAATTTATATGATGTTGATTGCTGATGCCTGCAAATACTCGTTTCATTTAATTCAGTATTTTAGGTCATCGACTGAGTCAGGTGAATGTTTATATTTTATATTTAAATAAACTAAAAATTTATGTAACACCCTGTAGGTGATTGGTTCGACTTATTCATATCGGTTCACCGGTTGACTGTCATAACATTTTTGTTTCTATTGCTTACTATAAGCGCCTCTAATATGAGTTTCAATTCCCGTCAAACCTATCAATCGGTACTCCATATGATGACTACCACTACCGAACCAATACCCCCGGAGTGCTACTCTATACTGACGTTATTTATGGCTCACTTGCGGCACAATTATACGGAACTGACGGCGTGTTCGTTGTTTAAGATAAGGTTGTCATTCATTTGGACCACAATTAGTATAATTGTTACTTATTCTGTAGTATTCATTAAATTGAGCCAAGGCTAATTAAATATTTGAGAATCTTAAATAATCAAATTTAATCTATAATATATTGTATTAATGTATTTTTATTTTGAATAAAAGTTTTATTTAAATGTATAAGTGTTTAATGTTGACTTAAATAATTTTATGAAATTATTTTGATATTTTATTTTAAAATAATTTTTGTTTAATGAACTAATCATAGACATAATAAATCTTAATCAATTATAATATGTACTAATTTGAATGGTAATATAATTATAAATAATATTTTAAAATACAATTAATTCATGTGCCTTATGATGGTAAATCACGTGAACATGGTAGTAATTTATTTGTTAATCTTATTTATATTTAGAAATACTGTATTGTGATATATATTTTGTAACGTGATTTTAATTCTTAAAAATGTGATCTGGATCGATAATCTAAAAATTCTATTATTAAATTAAGGTTGACAAAATATATATAATAACAATACATGTCAAATTATAAAAATAATATTATAATTGATTACTTTGAATTTATACATTATATATCATACAATATAATATTTACTAGTATAAATATCCATGAACAATAAAATATAAATTTGTTTAAAGTAACTTATGATCAAGTCACAATGTTAACCAAAAATGATAAGATTTTAAACATCAATAGTGTAGAAAATAACCTTGATTTAAATAAACTATTAAATCCGTTAATTAAATTTTTAAAATTATATGGATTTAAACAAAAAACTACTAAAACTACATGTCATAAATTGTACCTTTATGTAGCTAGAATATTTATTATATTTTGCGCTTTATTAGCATTATACGCTTTTAAATTTAGCACCTTTATGAATTTCAACAAATTATTATCAAGTTCGGCCACCCTGTTCAAAATAATATCCTCACAATTAATTGTTTACAGTCTAAAATGTGATAAACGTATATTTGACTTTGCCATACAAACTACACGGTGTTTCACAACCTATGGTAAATACAAGCAACGATCTTATTTATTAATAATTTTCATCTTGGTTACGCTTTCATTTTTCGAGTGTCTGGATGTTATTAAAGTAGCCATGTTTCAACGTCAACATCCCATGTTTAATTTAATCAAATATAAAACCACTTTTGATAAAATCTATTACGTGTGCGAGGGCGTTGCATATTATACGTGCTGCCACCTACCCATGTATCTGTCAGTCGCCTACTGTTCCCTTAACAGTCAGATTATTTCAAAAATGTTTGACGATTTAAACCACGAGATTTTGATCGGAAAAGAATTTAATCTAAATTTATTCGATTTACGACACATTCAATTAATCCACCACAGAATTAGTGGACAGTCGTATCGACTACAGGGTGTTGCTTCTAAAGCTATACTCATAATTTATATGATGTTGATTGCTGATGCTTGCAAATACTCGTTTTACTTGATTCAATATTTTAGGTCGACTGAGTCGGGTAAATTTTATAATTATATTTTAAAATAATTTATAAACTTATGTCACACTCTGTAGGTGATTGGTTCGACTTATTCATATCCATACACCGATTAACTGTCATAACATTTCTGTTTTTATTGTTGACTATAAGTGCCTCTAATATGAGCATAAACTCCCGGCAGACATACCAATCAGTGTTACATATGATGACCACCATTACCGAACCCATACCCCCGGACTGCTACTCACTTTTGACGTTATTTATGGCACACTTGAGGCATAACTACACAGAATTGAATGCGTGCTCACTGTTTAAGATAAGGCTGTCATTCATTTGGACTACAATTAGTATAATTGTTACATATTCTGTAGTATTCATTAAATTAAGCAATGACTAATTAAATGTATTTAAAATGTTTTCATCTTGCATGCTTTAATTATTAATAAAGGTTTTCTATTATAAAGCATTATATTTTTATTTCTCAAATTGTTAATTATGCCAGGCCACTATTGTTAAACGCTGGGTAATACGAATCGATGTTGGTGCCTATGCCACCTAGCAAATATTGTTGACAAGTTGTATTACACTTTCCAGTTAATGTCACTAGGCGATAATTTCCAATTAGCGTGGTAACCCCCTTTATACTATTGCAACCATTTTCTGGATACGATTTATAATATGATTGCATTTTATATACCGAACCATCGCAGGGACCTCCACTTACATATCCATTTTGAGTGGTAAATGCATCACCTTGATCAAGTAAAAATATAATTTTAAGTATTTTTAGTTAAATCATTTTAATTATTTATACATACCGTTAACATACGTTGCAAACCTGATTACATTTACAAATTTCAATGGTGTTAAAAATAGTACTGGGTTATCCTGAATAGCTAACTGGGTGGTGGTGAATTGTGTCACAATTATCCCGTTACACGTAATTGGGTAGGGTGGTTGGTTGCCATCGGATACAACTAGTTTGCTAATATTAACCGCACTAGTTATACTACTTTTACATATATGAATTGTATCATAAGTGACCACGGTGTATACGACACTTGTGAAAACTGTATATATTTTTAGAATTTTAGAAAGTATTTTATGATATTTTTATAATTGATTATTATCACATACCTGTCCCAGTATATTTTATTTTACCCTGTCCATTATTGATTACAAATACTATAGTAATACATATTGATACTACTGTATTACAAATAAATACATTTTTATTAAACAAGTGTTATTATTATTATCATTATATAATCTATTGTAATGTAATTAATTTATATTTTCTTATAGTTATTTATAGTAAATAAATAAAATTGTACCATGTATAATAATAAATTACAATAGTGTATAAGTTTAATAATTAATTATACAAATTTTATAATTTACCTGCTAAAGTTACTACAAATATTTGTAATGTTTTGATAATCATTTTAATGTTTTCACCTCATAGTAAATATACTTTATTAATGTTAGCATTGTAAATACATTATACCTACGTAATCATTTGCGCAAAATGTGAAATGATTTGCACCTGCTTATTTAAAATAATAATTAATTAAATGATTTCTAGATACAACTATACATTTGTATCAACTACAAATACGTCTAACGTATAAATATTATTTATTACGCAAACTAATTAATTACACTAGACCATTGTCGTTATATCCGGGA